GTGGATGATGGGGGAGGCGGATGAGGAGGAGGAGGAGGAGGCGGAGGAGGAGGAGGCGGAGGAGGAGGAGGAGGAGGAGGAGGAGGACGACGAGGACGGCGGCGGCGGCGGCGACGAGAACGTCCAGCTCGCCAACGTGCCCGCTCGCGCGCTGGCACCACGTGCGCAGTCGCCCCGGGCTCCGTGCACCGCTGCGCCGCCCGCGAGCACGACGGGCAGAGCGTGGGGCCGCCTTGGGCTGCCGGGGCCTTTTTCTGTCGACTCGTTTGAAGGGGCCCCAGGACACACAAATAACTACACACAAATAAAAAGATCCACCATCATTTCCTATATATTTTCTGGGTTTTTCTCTCTCTCTCTCTCTCTCTCTCTCTCTCTCTCTCTCTCCCCCCCCCTTCCCATATTTTCTGATATTTTCTGGGGAATCGAAGATGAATTGTGTCTGTGTTTTTATTTCCCTCCTGATCGTTTTCCGTTGTTTCATCGATCGGTATCCGCCCGCCCCGGGTCTCTGAACTGTGCCGTCGGGCTGTTGGGGGCCCGAAACAGGAGGCGAACACCACGAAGCAACGCTGGAGTGACCGATAAGGGACGCGCCGCGTCTTACGCAGGACGACGCAGCGATCTCACGCCGCCATGTACGCGGGTCGTTACCGTGGCACGCCGCGTGGAGGAGAGAGTGGCACTTCAGCGCGGCCTTGCTCGGGAAGCCTGCGCGCGAGTGTAGGCGCAGTCGGCCCCGTGTTCTCCCGTCGCCCACATCGGACATCGATGCCGCTGGCTTCGTTTAGAGGGGATCTGTCGACCCCCATCCCGGGCTTTGTGGGGTTCTCGAATGGACCGAAACTGCGGGACCCCACCCTGGGATATACGATGGGGGGGGCGCCCGTCCTCGATAGGAGTGCGCCCGAATAGCCCCCCTCTGGGGGTGTATCCCAGGGTCTCCCGCCTTTTCTGAGCGGCCTCATTTTCTGTAGAAAAGTTGGGGGTTGGGGTAGAAAAAATTAGCCTGGCGAAGGGCCCAACCATATGCAGTTGTGAGCACCGTCGTTGTGAGTATCGCAATCGGTGGAGATCCCTATGGGCCACGAAAAGGCTGTCCTGGGCGGGGGAGACGCATGTGAGTGCAGCCAGTGGGGCCTTCGGTGGAGCTCCCTATAGTGGCCACGAAACGTTTGCCAGTTTTCCTGGGGGGGTGGAGGCGCATGCGAACTGCGCCATTGGGGTTTTCGGTTGAGCTCCCTGTGGGGCCACGAAACGCTGTCCTGGCTGGGGGAGACGCATGCGAGAGCAGCCACTGGCGCCTTCGGTGGAGCTCCCCCATGGGGCCACGAATCGCTGTCCTGGCCGGGGGAGACGCATGCGAACTGCGCCACTGGGGCCTTCGGTGGAGCTCCCTATGGGGCCACGAAGCCCTGTCTTGGGTGAGGGAGACGCATGAAAGAGCAGCCACTGGCGCCGTCGGTGGAGCTCCGTGTGGGGCCACGAAACGCTGTTTTGGGTGGGGGAGACGCATGCGAGAGCAGCCACTGGGGCCTTCGGTGGAACTCCCAAAGGGACCACGAAGCGCTGTCCTGGGTGGGGGAAACGCATGCGAGAGCAGCCACTTGGGCTTTCGACCGCGAAACAATGTCCTAGGTGGGGGAGACGCATGCGAGAGCAGCCACACGGGCCTTCCGTTGGGCTTCCTATGGGGCCACGAAGCGCTGTCCTGGGTGAGGGAGACGCATGCGAGAGCAGCCACTGGCGCCTTCGGTGGAGCTCCCTATGAGCTCCCTATGGGGCCACGAAGCGCTGCCCTGGCTGGGAGAGACGCATGCGAGAGCAGCCACTGGCGCCTTCGGTGGAGCTCCCCATGGGGCCACGAAGCGCCGTCCTGGGCGGGGGAGACGCATGCGAGAGCAACCACTGGCGCCTTCTGTGGAGCTCCCTATGAGGCCACGAAGCGCTGTCCTTGGTGGGGGAGACGCATGCGAGAGCAGCCACTGGGGCCTTCGGTGGAACTCCCTATGGGGCCACGAAGCGCTGTCCTGGGTGGGGGAGACGCATGCGAGAGCAGCCACTGGCGCCGTCGGTGGAGCTCCCTATGAGGCCACGAAGCGCTGCCCTGGCCGAGAGTCAGCCCCAGTTCGGTGCCAATTCACGGGAGCCTTCCGTACCATCTTGTCCGCTCTTGCGAATCGGCGCTCATCGACGCCAGCTGACGCCGAACTGACGCGAATCGACGCTGGCCGACGCCAAATCGGCGCTCTCTCATCGACTCCCAGACGCCGATCCCCCTGGACTCCAAGACGCTCATTGGAGCTCTCTTCGGCGCTGGACAAACCTCCCTTTAGTAGACCTCCCCTTCGTGAAAACGGCCTGGGACCGAAACCGACGGACCTGGACCCGCAAAAATGACGGCCGCGACGCCATCTCGCGAACCGAAAGCGGCCGATTCCTCAATCGACGTGTCAGGGTAGGAAGTCTGTCCACCCCCGATCTCTGGAGCTGTGTCCCTCCTGCCACGCGGCTGACTACCTACCAGTCCACCCCAACCCAACCCGAAGACCCGAATTTCGGGTTGGGGGGGGTAAGGGTTCCACACGTGTTTTTTCGATGTTTCCCGACCCCCCCAAACTGGAAATCGAGGGTAAATCTGAGCCTTCGGGTTGGGTTGGGGTGGTTTGGTGGGTGGTGAGATCTCTGGAGCTGTGTCCCTCCTGCCACGCGGCGGCGCCCCCCTGGGCAGCACGCGAGAACCGCATAGGGGGCCGGCGGCGGGCCGGGCCGTCTCGCTCCGGCGGTGCGCCGCCCGCGGGAGAGGCGGCGGCGGCGGCGGGGGAGAGCTGCAGCGCTCTCGCCACACTCGCCCAGAGAGGTCTCCCAGATGGGGTCCGAGCAGACGGGGTCGGAGGATCTCGCCGCATGGAAGACGGATCGGAGATGCGGCGGCGACGTCGGAGTGGAGAAAAGTGGGCCCCCCATCGAGCCGCATCGCCGATGCATCGGCGATGCGGCGCGATCCTCCGACCCCATCGACTCGTACCCATCTAGGAGGCCTAGATCGCTGCTTCCGGAACACCGCGTCGGGGGTGCAGTACATTGTATTGCATCCTCGGGGGACCTTGTCTGTCCCGTCGCGGCCCTGTCCGCGTCGAATCCGCGTCGAATCCACATCGGGCTCGTCGGATCCGCGTCGAATGCGTGTCGAATCCGCGTCGATTCCGCGCCAAATCAGCGTCGAGTCCGCACCGATCCCGCGCCGGTAACAATAAAAGCCACCAATGTTGGGGACATGCGAGGTCCCCCACAGATGCGACGTGCATTCGCTGCTCCTGGAACACCGCGCCGGGGGTGCACCACAGAGGGTCCGACGAGACATCCTGCAGACGCGATGCCTGGATGCGTTTTGCCGCCTTCTCGTTGCCGACCGCCGCTGTCCGTGAGCAGCGTCGTCGCATGGATGCTCGCATCGATTCTCGCATGAATTTCGGACGGCTTCGGAGGAGGAGGAGGAGGAGGCATGTGTCTGCAGTGGGTAGAATGAATACAGAATCCGCAAAGGGCTCGCGCCGCGGAGCCCACGCGCATATCCACGCCCCACGGAAAAAACCCATACGGAATCCACTCCGGATCCGTATGATGTAGAATGCCCAGCCTGATATATAGACACGGGTAAATCCATTAAAATAAATGCGTGAGGAGCTCTGTGGGTTTGCGTGGGCCCCCGGCTCCCCGAGCCCCCCGGAGAGCTCGAAGGCGCCCGGAGGGCCCCGAAACGGCACTGGAGCTCCCCAGAAGAGCCCCGAGACGGCCCAAAGAGGCCCCGAGGCGACCAAAGACAGCCCAGCCCCGAGATGGCCCAAGACCGCCGACGCCCCAGGACGGCTCCGAGGGGACACTCTCGGGGGCCCGAGAGGCCGAAATCGTAGACTTTCCGTTGGTTTCCGATGAATTCTGATATTCTCGCGCTCTCAACCGTCTGGACCCCCAAGACGACCCAAGAGGCCTCCAAGATCGCCCCGAGACGGCCCAAGAGGAGCCCCAGAAAGCCCCAAGACAGCCCCAGAGGGGCCCAAAGGAGGCCCAAGAGGCCCCCAAGACGGCCCAATAGACCCCCATGCGGCCCACAAGACACCCCAACAAGCTCCCAAGAGGCCACCAAGACAGGCCAAGAGGGCCCCGCCTGCCCATGAGGGCCCCAAGACAGCCATGATGCTGTCAAGACAGCCCCAGAGGGCTTCACGCGCCCTAAAGAGCCCCAGGAGGACCCCCAAGAGGGCTTGAAGAGGCGAAAATCATAGATTCCACGTTGGTTGTCGATCGCACACCGCAGCTTGCTGGCATTTGCGCGCCGGAAGCAGAAGCGCGCGTCGGCAAATCTCGACTCACGCAGCTCTGTGGATTGAATCCACGGGCCCACACTAGTATATATATATATATATATACACACGCACACACATGTATATATATATATATATATACACACATACGTTTTTGTAAATATGGCCGCGGCGATGCTCTGAAAAAGGGCATGCCCGCTGGCGGAGGGATCAGACATGCCGCCATTTCGAACCCGAGCCTGGGCCACTCGTCGTCGCCCTCATCCTCCGGCGCCAGCTTCTCCTCCTGACCATACGGTACTCCTCCTCCTACCACTCCTGCTCCTCCTGCTTTGGCTCCTCCTGCCTCCACCTCCTGTCCATCCTCCTTCCCCATCCCCACGCTCTCCACCCCCAGACCGCAGACCCCTATCATGCCCCATCCTCCCTCATCCTTCCACCCTTCCTGAGCGAGTCGCACGCTCCTTCTACAGCCAACTCGCATGGTAAGGACGGGCAACCTGTCCAGGGGTATCCTTGCATCCGTGCCCTTTCGGCCCATCCTCGGCCACTTTCGTGGGCCGCGCCCCGCTCGAGGAGCCTCGAAGTGGCCTCCATAGGCCCTGGCATCCTTACGGCGCATCCTTGTGACACGGGCTGACTGTACCTCCACTCCTCTCCCCCTCGGCACGGAGCCTGTCTTGAGGTTCTTGATGTTGTCCAGCGCCTCCGCGAGCAGGAGGTACAGGGATCTGAGGCCTGGCCGGTCAGGCTCGAGGTGCTCATGGCTCTCTCCGCGCCCCAGGTGCACTGCAGCACCAGACTGCGGTGTCTGCAAGCAGTTCTCGGGGGCGCGCGAACATGGATTAGCGATCCATGGATTTGGCGCGCGGTCGCCAACTCCATGGATCGGGGGAGGTGTCCCTCCCCCAAATGCGGCTGGTACCGCCTTGTTCGGCGGCGGAAATCCGGGATTTCTCATGGAAACGGGACCCGTCGCAAATCCACGCCCCCTTGATTCCATGTTTGCGATCGCCTGGCCAGAGACTGCATTGACTGCAAGCAGTTCGTGCAGAAAGAGCACAAAGCACAATGCATCGTCGCGTTGTGATCCCGAGTCATTCCATCACGGATCTAAGGCCTGGCCCGGGCCAAGCGCTCGATTTGCGTACGTCCCTGCGTGGAAGTCGGTATTTGTCATGGCATCCGTTGCCACCAGAACGCTGCAAGCCGCGCTTATAGTATGGCCAACGTCAACGACCTGAAGCTGGCCGTGCGGCAGAAGTGCCCACATATCCCAGGATCCCCCATGTTTTCTGATATGTTCTGGGTTCTCTCTTCCCCTCCCACTTCCAATATTTTCCCATGCTCTCCTGGGGATCGGCGATTCATTGTCTGTGTTTTTCCTCCTGGGAGACGAAGCAACATGTGCTCCTTTCGTGGAGCACGTTTTCCAATAGATGGACCGATGGCGTGGAAATTCATCTGAACGTTGCCTCCCTCCTCCTCCTCTTCCTCCTGCTCCCCCTCCTCCTCCTCCTCCTCGTCGTTTTCCTTCTCTTCCTCCTCGTCGTCCTCCTCCTCGTCGTTCTCCTCCGCCTCCTCCTCCTTCTCCTCCTCCTCCTCCTCCTCTTCCTCCTTCCACTCCTGCTCCTCCTCCTGCTCCTCCTTTTCTTGATCCTCCTCCTCCTCCTGCTCCTCCTCCTCCCTCTTCCCTCCTCTCTCCTCCCGCCATCTCCCCTCCCTCATCCCGCCGAGGTTGAACAATTGATGCAGTCGGTTGTCCTGCGAGTGTGGCCGAAATTCCGTCGACCAACGTCTTGCACCAGGCTGCTGCAAGAGTGTGAAACCCGTGAGGAGGAAGGGGGGACGAGGAGGAGGAGGAGGACGAGGAGGAGGAGGAGATGGAGGAGTGTGAGTGGGCAGCGTGGTGGTCGAGTGAGCAGGAGTGTGAGTGGGCAGAGCGGGCAGCGAGGTCCCGCTCAGATCCCCGCGGCGCCTCACTCCGCAGGACCCGCCAGCAGCCCTCGAAAGCGGCGACGGTGCCGCGGATCGCAGCCCCCCAGGGACGGCGACGTCCGCACGGAGCAAAAAGAGAGGGAGACGGGAGGCGGGAGGCGGGAGGCGGAGGCAGGAGGAGGAGGAGGAGGAGGGAGGAGGACGGGAGGCCGCAGTGCTCTATCCGAAGCGAATGCCCAACCAAGGAGGGCTGGGATGAAAAAACAAAACAACACGACAACCGAAACTCGAAACAAAAACAAGCACGACCGTCCGTCGTGTTTTTTGGAGGTCGAAAGAGGGGGTCTGCAACAGGGGGTCTTCAATGGGGGCTGAATGGCCCATGTATGCTCAATGTATCGTTCGTGTATGTAAACGGGTACGATTGGCATCCAATGTTGGCGGTCATTGAGGGCCAGTCGTTCGTGCCCGCGCGTTGCCCGCGCGGGCACACGCGCCGTCCATCCATTATCCATTATCGGTCGTGTCGTGAAGGAAAACTTTTCCTTCACGACACGACCGCCCGCTGGCTGGTCTCACGGCGCGAGGGGGGCGGGGGGCTACGCCGCGCCCGGCGCCCGCCGCGCCCCTGCCCTGCCAGGAGGCGGCCGGGCGCGCCCGCGGCCGCCTCCGCGCGCGGACCCCGCGCGCGGACCGGGCGCGGGGTGCTCGACTACCTACCAGACCACCCCAACCCAACCCGAAGACCCGAATTTCGGGTTGGGGGGGGTAAGGGTTCCACATGTGTTTTTTCGCTGTTTCCCGACCCCCCCCAACTGGAAATCGAGGGTAAATCTGAGCCTTCGGGTTGGGTTGGGGTGGTTTGGAGGGTGGTGAGTGCTCGAGCGCAGGGCTGGTGGCGCCGTCTCGTCCACGAGCAGCCAAGCCAAGCTCAGACCCCCTTCGAATCATGAAGAGATCGCGACGGGAGGTCTTTTCGCCATGTCCGGCCTCTGGGGGCCCTTCCCGGGCCTCGGGATTGTCAGAAGGCGGCTCGGGACGAAAGACCGGTCCTGGGGAATGGGTCGAGACCTCTGGGGGTCGCCGTCATGAAAAAATCATGACGTCGGGGGTCTGGGAGGCGCTCTTGACGGAAGAGCAATGCGGGTTCGAAAGGGGGCCGACCCCCCCTTTGGGAGGCAACTGCTGGGAAAGCTTTGTCCGAAGGAATACGGATGATGGAAGCCCCATTTTGGGGGGCTGTTGCGCCGGATCGGGCCGCGGATCAAGCGGGACTGAGCCAGATTAAGCAGGATTCAGCCGGATTGAGCGGGATTCAGCCGGATTGAGCCGGATTCCTCCCAGGATGCGGCGGAGGAGGGGGAGGAGGAGGAGGCGGAGGAGGATGAGGAGGAGGAGGAGGAGGAGGAGGAGGAGGAGGAGGACGGAGGAGGAGGAGGAGGAGGAGGAGGAGGAGGAGGAGGAGGAGGAGGAGGAGGAGGAGGAGGAGGAGGAGGAGGAGGAGGAGGAGGAGGAGGAGGAGGACGAGGAGGAATGCGACCTCCTAGGAGCTGCATCCGAACCATCCCCTCTGCTGCGCTGCGGGAGGCTTCTTCGGCTGCTGCCGGGCCCGCGCCAGGCACCCGAGCCGCCAAGAGACGGCTCGGGATGAGAGGCCGGCCCCGGGGAACGGGTCGAGACCTCCAGGGGTCCATGGCCTCGGCCTTTGGCGGTGCTTGAGTCTGGCGAGAGGTTGAAAGGCGGCCGTCGCTCCCTTCATGAGCGGGCCGGCCCGCGTCAGCGAGGCCACGGTACGGGCGAGGCGGCCGAGGACGCTGCGCCTCAGGTCCTTCCACGGGTGTCCCTCAGGCGCTCCTCGTGCACCCCAGGCTCTGTGGGGGCGCGCCAGCGGGGGGCTCCGTTCCTGATCTGGCGCTCTTCGTGGTGTCAGCTTGACTGAGGACAACGCGCTGGAAGGACATGCCTCTATTGGTGTCGTCGTCGTCGTCGTCGTCGTCGTCGTCGTCGTCGTCGTCGTCATCGTCGTCCCTCTCCTCCCTCTTCTCCTCCCTCTTCTCCTCGTCCTCCTGCTGTTCCTCTCTTCCTTTTCCTCCTCCTCCTCGTGTCACTCCGCCTCATCCTCATCCAACGACGGCCCCCTCGCAAGGCCCCATGGTACCCTCTGAAGCCTCTAACCCTCTCCTCCGCGTGTTCCTTCATGTTCCCTCCTGCTCCTTCCTCTCTCCCTTCTAATCCCGCTTCGACGACGACAGTTACGACGAAAAGCGCTCCGCCTGGACCTCCCTGGGGCCGCCAGAGCTCTCTAGATTCCCCCTGATGGGTCCCAGAACCTGCACACCTTCCTAGAAGCCTCCTCCTCCTCCTCCTCCTCCTCCTCCCTGCCCCCTCCTCTTGCGCCTCTTGCTGCTCCTCCTCCTCCTCCTCCTCCTCCTCCTCCTCCTCACCCTGCCATCGGTTCCCTGCTCCCTGCTCCTCCTCCTCTCCTCCTCCCCTCAACTCCTCCCCGTCCTCCTCCTCCTCCTCCTCCTCCTCCTCCTCCTCCTCCTCCTCCTCCTCATCCTCGTCCTCGTCCTCGCCCTCCACTTCTATCCCTCTTCCCTCGAAGTATCTCCGCCCTGTCGCACCCGCAGACGTGCCGGCAGGGCGGGCCGGGTGACTCGCCAGACATTTCGCCATCGGGTACGATCCCTGAGGCTTGAACAACTTGCCACCGTTTTTTAACATGGAGGGTGGCTCTTCTCCAAAAAGATGGCTCTCGCCTCGCGGTATAGATCATGTAATTAAAACGGTTCCCTCCCCCTGTTCCCTTCACTGACGGGGGGTATCGGGGGGGGGGGTAGGGAGTGGTACGAGGAGGGGTAGGGGTCCCCCATGTGGTGGGGGGTCCTGGAGGGGGGTCCAGGGGCAGGTCCCGCCTGTTCTGGGGGAGCTGGTCCCTGGTCAGACTAGCGCCCCCCCCTCCCGGGGGTCCAGGCGGGTGGTCCCCGGGGGGGGGGGGGCGCCAGCGGGGTTCTGGGTCGGCGGCACCGGCCGCAAGGCCTTCACAAGCATCTCCTGTAGCCTGCAGCGACCTGCGAAGAGAGGGAGCTCGGAGGGAGAGGCTGGCGGCAGCCTCGCTGGCGCCTCCTGGGCCTGCACTGGCCCTCCCCCCTGCTCCTCCCTCCTCGCGGCCCCTTCCCTGCTTGCGGCGGGGGGCGGGCCGAGGATCGCGAACATGTTGGAGCTGAACCTGCGGGCAGGCGCCGCCCCCCCCTCCAGCCCTCGTCGCTCGCCGCAGCGGCGCCCTGCGGCCCCCGGGGCCGCGCCGCAGAGGCGGCGCCGCGCTCGCCGCGCTCGCCGCGGCCGCCGCCGCCGCCGCCGCCGCCGCCGCCGCCGCCGCCGCCGCCGCCGCCGCCGCCGCCGCCGCAGCAGCAGCAGCAGCAGCAGCAGCAGCAGCAGCAGCAGCAGCAGCAGCAGCAGCAGCAGACAGGGCGGCGGAGGTTTTTTTGGGGGGGAGGCCCGCGGGCGTGCTCGCGGGCTCCTGGAAGCCCTCTCGCCTCGGGGGTGCTCTCCAGCAGCCGCGCAACGGCGAGCGCGCTCCCGGGGTGCCCTGGTCGTCCCGAACGGCCGCCCCGGGGCCCGAATTATGGACCGCAAACTGAGGAGGAGGAGGAGGAGGAGGAGGAGGAGGAGGAGGAGGAGGAGGAGGAGGAGGAGGAGGAGGAGGAGGAGGGGGAGGAGGAGGAAAAGGGGGAGGAGGAGGATGGGAAGGAGGAGGGAGAGGAGGAGAAGGAGGAGGAGGAGGAGGTGGTATCCTCGTGTCGGTTCGAAAGAACCACCTGGAGGTTTTGGTCAGTTTTCGGCCTGCTGGGGTTTTCACATGGCCTCGGAGCCGTCAACAAAACTACTCAGGATCACGAGTCCGTCCTCCCCGTGAAGAGGTCGCCGTCTGGGGAACCCTGTTGTAAAAAAAAGAGGCGGATGTCAGGGGGCGGACGCCGACTATACACCTACATCCTACACCGCTCCTCCCGAGTAGTACCATCGTCGTCCCCACTCGTCCTCGATCCACCTCCTCTCAAAGCGAGCTGGCCAAGCGGGCGGACCCTGACGGGCGGGTGGGGCGGGCGGACCCTAACAGGCAGGCCGGGCGGGCGGACCTTACAGGCGGGCGGGCTGACCCTTACGGGCGGGTCGGGTGGGCGGACTCGATCCACCTTTACTTCATCAGACAGAAGGAGGAGAAAGACGAACACGAGGTCATCCTTGTCCGCCACCGCCTTGTGCCCCCCTGCCTATCTGACTCGAGTCACGCCAATGCCAGCCAGCATAGGGATGAGAGGGAGCGAGGTGAGGAGGGCGACGCAACCAACCCAGACGTCTGACGATGTTTGTTGTTCAGCTCACGGCCCCCAGAGCTGCCGACCCTTCCCCGGGGGTGGTTTTTCGTCCTGGGTCCACTCTTGATTGCCCCGAAGCTCGACAGTGGGCCCAAAGGGCCGATATCGGGGAAACGCATGCATACTGTCCAACTGGGAAAACCGTTTGACGGCCCCTTCGCCAGGCGCGCTCCCTGTGTCCTCGTCCTCCGGAGGCTGAGAAGGAGGCAAAACGCCCACAGCGAAAAACTAAACCGTCGGGGACCTTGCAGTGCCAGGTGGGGCTCCGCTGCGATCCTGGCCGCCCCTGGGAGGGCGTCGCCCACGAAAGTCTCCACGCGGAGGAAAGGGAGCAGCGAAAGAGGCATCCGCAGGCCTCCCGGCGGCGCGCTGCTCGGGGCGACCCGTGGGCCTTCTCTACTGGCCGAGCAACACCCTGTGGGCAAGTTGCGCCAGTAAGAGCGAATGTCCACGGGAGGCGCGTGGGCAGCATGCCAGGACGCGGTGGGAGTAAAAGCAGGCGGCGGCGATCTGTCCGAGAGGTAGTGCCGATAGTGACCGTGGGGGAAGCGACGGCGGCTTGGGAAGCTTAGCACGAGCCAAAAAAGGAGGGCGAACGACACAGGGATAGAGATATAAGAGGAGAGAGAGAGAGAGAGCGATACACACACATATATCTATATATATATATATGCATATAATGAGACACGCGCGGACCCCGAACAGCTTGTTGTTGCAATCTGTGCGGCGCAGTCAGGTGGTGGAACCAATGTGGTGCAATCTGCGTAAGCGATGCAAAACAATGCAAAGCAATGCAAATAAATGTAAAGCAATGGCAAGCAATGCGAAGACATGCCAATCAATGCAACACACTGTAGCGCAAAGAACCTCATAGCAACTCACGGCAGACCAATGCAAAGCACTTCAGCAATTCAACGCAATGCAACGCAATGCAACGCAATGCAACGCAATGCAACGCAGTGCAATGCAAAGCAATGTAATCCAACGTAGAGCAATGGAAAACAAGGCAACGCTATGGAATGCGGTGCAACGCAGCGCACAGCACTGCAACGTAACGCAGCGCAGTGCAGAGCAATGCAATGCAAAGCAAGTGAAAGCAATGTGACACCATGCCAAGCAATGCGAAGCCATGCACACCAATGCAGAGCAGTGCAGAGCAATGCGAGGCGGGCGGCGACGAGGACGCGAGCATGCCCGGGTGCCTTCCTCCCCAGCCTCGGGGCCGCCCTGGGCTCCCCCTGGAGAGGCAAACAAAGGATTGCAAAAAAAACCCGAAGGATTGCAAAACAAACCCGAAGGTTTTTTTGCAATCCTTCGAAGGTTTTTTTGCAATCCCCCCCCCCCCTGGAGAACACGAGGAAGAGGTCGTGGGTCAGGCCCAGTATGCAGGGGATGGAGTCCACCGCGAAGAGCAGGTCGCTCAACCTTCCCGCTCCCAGGGGCAGCAGCAGGCCACCTCCTCTTCCTCCCCGTCGCTCCCTTCTTCCTTCTCTTCCCGCTCCTCCTCCTCCTCCTCCTCCTCCTCCTCCTCCTCCTCGCTCTCCTCTTATCGTCTTCCCCCTCCTCCTGCTTCTCCTCCTCCCCACCCGTTTTCCTCCTCCTTCTCCTCCTCCCCTCCTCCTCCTCCTCCTCCTCCTCCTGGTCCGCCTCCTACTCCCTCCCTCCTCCTCCTCCTCCTCCTCCTCCTCCTCCTCCTCCTCCTCCTCCTCCTCCTCCTCCTCCTCCTCCTCCCCATCATCCTCCTGTCAACCTTGCTCCGCTGTCTTCCTAGGTCTTTCCCCATCATTCTTCTTCCTTCGTCCTCCCCATCATTCATCCTGCCTGTTTCGTCATTTTTCTTCTTCGCCTTTCCTCCCTCCCATCTTTCTCCCACGCTCATCCTCATTCCTCTCTCTCGTCGTCCTCCTTCCCAAGCTCCATCCATCCACGGGCACCAACCAACACACCTCTCTTCGCCTCCTACCAAACTACCAGCCCTCCTTCCCCCTTCCAGGTTCATGCCTCCCTCATCTCTCATCCTTCTGCTCCTCCCTCTGGAGTCACCCATCCTTCCTCATTCCTGCTCCCTGACTGTCTTCCTCCCTCCAGCAACACCAGTGCCCCGCACCCTCCTCGTCTGGCACAGATGCACGCCACGGCGCCCCCCGCATGCCTCACTGTCTCAAGCACGGCGGAATGGCGATCGCTGCTGAGGCTACGGCTAATACTTGGACGGGGGCTATGTCCTGCTAGAACTGGCCCAGGACGCGTTTCAGGTTTCCAGAGTATCTAACGGCTCTCGTTTCTATATCCCGTGTGGAACAGGTGGGGATATTGAGGATCCTGGGATCCTGGGGATCCAGGGACCCTTGGAAATCTTGGAACGTATCATTCTCATCACCTCTTGCCCCTCTGAAACACGGCAGCACATCGCGGCGACTGGTCTACGGCTTTGCCGCCGCAGAGTTCTTGACCGACCCAATGAATGACCGCTGTCCCTCTTAAGTCTTTCTACCTCTACGCGCAGACACCGATAGGAAGCGGCGCCTCAGATTCTCGGATATGTTCAATGTGGCGCAATCAGCCGTTCAATATGACGTCCAGTCCAGATCGCTGGTTTTCTGGGCACTTTGTGTAGGATCCTCTCCCATTTCGCGCTCCTCTGTCTTTTGGCTTTCGCCCTCCCCCCGGCCCCCCCGCTGTCACAACTGAACGCAACTCGGAATGCGGGTCATATGATGGTGCACGGTGAGGATCTGGGGACCTACCTCCGCGCGAAATCCAGGGGTACGGCTCGGAGCTTCCTCCTACAAGGATTATGGAATGCATGTCAGCGCTCGCCCGCGAATGCTCTCCCCAGCGGACTCGACAACAACCAGGGCCGCGAACATGGGGGTCGCATATGCCTGTGCGGCGCTGAAGGCCACAGAACGAGAAACAGAGACACGCCTCAGGACGTATGCAGGGAGAGAGAAAACAATCATGATGAGGCTAAGATGAATGACAACGTGGTAGATGCGGAGGAGACGCCAGGGCAGGAGGAGAAAGGTGAGCCATCTGGGGAAATATGATGTGCGTCGCGTCAACAGTGGGTAAAGGTGGCGCACGCTACTTCCGGGATAACGTCCATGTCGCTATCTACGCCCCCCTGGGAAGAGATTACTTCTACTCGGTTCCACGAGGAACGCGATCAGCACGTACAACGGGAACATGTACGATTGAAAGCGGCGGGCCGTGTCTGTGGGGTCTCTTCGGGTTTCAGGGTCGCGAGGCTCGCGGCTACAGGGGGCCTCGCGTTCCTGGCAATTTGCGGACGAAATTCTACCTGTCCACCCAATTCCACCAGGCCCTCTATGGGATAGCTCTTGGCGTGTCTGGCCAGCAAGAAAGAAATGCCTCCCTCTTTGTCGTTCTCGGCGTTGTCGTCTATCCTCCTCTCCAGAAGGGGGTACCGCATCTTTTTGAGCCGAGCCCTCCTGCACCACCTCTCTAACTTAGGTCTCTATATCAAGCATCATTAAAGCCTGTTCTTCACCTCCGTCTGTTTTAGGAGCAGACCTTGCTGCCTTCACAGTGAGCTTGCATCCAACCGCCGCCTTAGGCGTCTGCATACAAGCGACTTTGGTGTCCTGTGGAGCTCGGCCGTTGTCCGCCTTTATTGTGCCCCCACTTGGGCCACCTATGGGATTGTGGATCGCCACTGGCCGTATCCCTCATGACGCGTCCTCGGGTTAGGTGTGCATTTGGCCGTTCCGGCGCCGCTCGCCTTGGAGGTGGGGCTTGGGAAGCTGGGCTGAGTGGCACGGATACCCGAGGCTTTCCCTGTTGCTCCCGGGCCCCGGCCCTCCCTGCCCCCCCTGGCGGGGCTGGGGCCCGATGGCGGCGGTGCGGCACGGGAGCCCAGGCAGGCTTCGCACTCGCGTTAGGTCGGGCATGTCCTCCCACAGGCGGGTTTTGCAATACAAATTACAAATGGTAACACAAATAATGCGGAAATAGTCAAACATGGTAGAACATAATGAAGGGAAACGGTTTAAAGAAAAAACTTTCTGGGGCGGACGATTAAAACAATTGTTTCGCGGGCCTCCTCGCCCCCGCAATAGCGGGGGGCAGGGCAGGCAGACGGGGGGCTGACAATTCCGGGTTTGCTTGGAAGGGCAGGGGGGGGGGGGGGAACGGGGTGGCGATCCAGGGCGCGGGGGCCAGGGGGGTGGACGGGGTGATTTTTCAGGGCGAGCTCGTCCTCCTCCTCCTCCGCCTCCTCCTCGTCCTCCTCCTCCTCTTCCTCCTCCTCCTCCTCGTCCTCCTCCTCCTTTTCCTCCTTCTCCTCCTCCTCCTCCTCATCATCCTTCTCCTCCTCGTCCTCCTCCTCCTTTTTCTCCGCTTCCTCCTCGTTCTCCTCCTGTTCGTCCTCCTCTCCCCCCCCCCGTCCGCAAGGACGAGGGCGGCCTTCTCGCTGTCTCGCCTCCCTTTCCTCCTCGTCGCCGCGCCGCGGCCGCGGGTGATCAAGCGAGCGAAGGAGGACGAATAGAAAATCAGTTCCCCCAAAGGGGTAAAAGCAAACGCCGGGGGGCGGACGATTAAAAAAACAGTTTCCGGCGGCTGAATTCTATTAGTCCGCCCCACTCAATCATTTTGGGGGGTCCGGGGGGGGTGGGGGGGTGGGCGATTTTTTCAATCGTTTCCCTCCATTACTCCGCAGACTATTGTCTAACTATGTTTGAATATTCTTCCTGTAGAAGGACATATCCGACTTAATTCTAGACCCACCCGCACGCTCCTCCTGACAGGGCGGCATGGGTAGGTGCCTGCAGCCTGCAGCGGGCACCGGGCTTCGACAGCCACCTCCCGCGGCGCAGAAGCCTAAAAGACCAGCAGCACATCTACGACCCATTCTCTCCGGTACTCTTCCGAGATCGGTCGTCACATGGTTGCGCCACTTTCTGAGCCTGTTCCGCCCGCATCCTCGCCGGGAGGGAGACGTGTCGGGTGTCCTGAGAGCAAGCATATCGCATACATTCATCCAGCTCTCCGTCCCCGCCTACTCCAACCTCATTCCTCCTCCTCCTCCTCCTCCTCCTCCTCCTCCTCCCACTCCGCCTCCTCCTCCTCCTCCTCCTCCTCCTTCCCTCCCTTCCTCTCTCCTCCTCCTCCTCCTCCTCCCTCCCTCCTCCTCCTCCTCCTCCGCCCTCCTCCCTCCTCCTCCTCCTCATCCTCCTCCTCCTCCTCCGCCTCCTCCTCCTCCTCCTCCTTCCCTCCCTTCCTCTCTCCTCCTCCTCCTCCTCCTCCTCCCTCCCTCCTCCTCCTCCTCCGCCCTCCTCCTCCTCCTCCTCCTCCTCCTCCTCCTCCTTCTCCTCCTCCTCCCCAATCTTCCTCCACCTTCTCATTCTTTTCCTCAATTCCCCCCATGAGCCTTGGGCCTGTCCCCTAGAGCTTGGGGCCAAGCGTGCGCACTCCTCCCCCACTTCCCGCGCAACCTGGGCCAACGACGCCGGCGCCTGGACGCGCGCCAGAGAGGAGGACGAGGAGAAGGATGACGAGGATGTGGAGGACCAGCTCGGCTTGGGTTGGCCCTGGAGGCGGTCAGGTGGGCTCACTCGGAGCCCTCGAGGTCGGTTTCTAAAAGTGGGAGTCCGACCGAGCAGACCCGGAATTGTCGAGCCGCAGACCTGGGCCCGGGGAGGGAGGAGGGAGGGAGGAGGGATGGGGAAAGGGACGAGGGAGGAGGGAGGAGAGCGGAGGAGGGAGGAGGGAGGAGGGAGGAGGGAGGAGGGAGGAGGAGGAGGAGGCCCTGCACGCGTGGGGCGATCGTCGGCAGGCGGGGCGGATGCTCGGAGCACGAGCTCGTGCCCTCCGCCCCCCTGCCCCCGCGTCTTCGGTGGCAGCTCACGCGAGCCTCCCATACCATCCTGCTGGCTCCTGCGAGGCGACGCTAGGTCGACGCTAAGTCGGCGCTAAGTCGACGCGAAGTCGACGCGAAGTCGACGCTAAGTCTGCGCTAATCGACGCGCAGCTGGCGCTGAGCCGCCGATTGCCATCCGCTAGTCGTCGCTGGCGCGCACAGAACAGACACGAAGCTACGGGGGCGCGCACGGCTCCCGTGATTTGAGACCGAACGCGTCGACTGACACAGCCTCGAATACTGCTTCGGGGCAAGCTGGGCGGCAAACTCCTCATGCAACGTCATGCGGGCGGCAGGCACCGTCGGGACGACTGAGACGCAGCTCTTTCGTCCCCCTCTTCTGTATCGGGGCAGCTGGCACCAGGGCTGGGCCTAAACGTTGTTTTTTCGGTTAGTGCTTGTTTTGTTGTTCGATTTGCTCTACCTGTTCTCCTGTACCTCCCTGCCAAACCGAAACAGCACAACACAGCCGAAGTCCAGCAACACAGCGTTTAGGTCCAGCCCTGGCTGGCACAACTTTATGCGCCTGGGCTGCTGCGCCCCCCCCTTTTCCGAGACGCCCGCTGCAGAACCTACGGAGGCCTCGAGTGAGGCTGCCGTCCGAGCGGACAGCACCGCAGCACGAGCCAAAGGGGACGGACCGCACTTTCGAATGCACAGCGTCGACGTCGGCCTGCGATAGGGGGAGTGCCAGCGCCACCAGAGAGACAGGTGCGAGAACTCCTCCCGCCTAGGCCCGACCCCACTGCCCGACTCCGCCCCTCCTCCCTCCGATCGGGATCTCCGGGGGGCTTCTGGTCCAGGCCTCCCGCTGCGCCAGGGGCGACGTCCTCCTGGGCAGCTCGGCGGCGCGCCAGGCAGCGCCCTATGAGGCCCTCATCGTCGTGACCTTTGCGCCAGAGATTCGGGGAGACGTAAGACCCGGGTACGGGAGACTCGGAAATCCCCGACGAGGTCGTCAAAAAAATGACGAGGCCGAGCCTGCATTTTGACGAGGCCTCCCGCTGCAGACATCCCACGAAACTCCTCCTCGTCAAAATCCGAGGCGCGGTCGTCAAAAAACGATGGCGAACCCGAGTCCTGGCAAACCCGGGTCTTACTTACGCTCCCCCGAGAGATGTGCCCTCCTGCGGCCCTCGCCGCGACCTCGCGCACACTGGTTGCGTCGGCGGCGAGGCAAGGGTGGCCTGCGCTCGCGGAAAGGCCCAAACGGAGGGGGCCGAAGGAGGGGGCGGAGGGAGCGAGCCGCTCAGGGGGACGGGTCACGCCCCGGCGACCTCGCGCACTCACTAGGGAGCCCACAAAGGACGTACGCGCCCAGCTATGTACATGAACACGGCCCCTCGATCCGCGAGACCGGCCGCGTAATACGAACATTTGCGCAATGCGTACTCTCGAAACCAGCATGGATTCATGTACATGTAACATGTACGTCCTTCTTTCGCTCCTGACTCACGCACTCGCAATCCTCGCCAGAGGGCGGCGCCTTCCTTCGCCAACTCCTAGTCTGAGCGGCCGAGAACCCTCACTCGGTGGTGAAACCCGCGTCTGTGCCAGCCCTCGTGCGGTGACCCTTGGTCTTCAACATGTCGATGCGCTCTGGAAACTGGCCCGAACCTGGGCCCCAAACCATGCGCTCTGGGACTGCTCCTTCCCGTCCCGCCCCCCCATCCAAACAGTTCCTGCGGTGCCAGCGCGGTCGGAGTGGACGTCGACAGGGGGAGGGGCCACTCGCGCCAACATGTCCCACGCGAGCTCCTCCCCGTCGCGGGACGGGAGGTCCGGCGGGGAGCAGCCGAGCGCGGGGCGAGGCCTCAGGCCACGGCCGCCACGCGCCCGAGCCCACCTGCCCGAACGGCAGTCCAGCCCGCACGGGGCAGGTGCAGACAATCGGCCCGGAGGGCAGCCTCACCCGAAGCTGTCGGCAGCCCTGGCTCACGTTTTCCACCAAGTAGTTTGAAGGGGCCCCAGGACACGCAAATAAATACACACAAATAAAACTATTCCCCATCTTTTCCCATATTTTCTGGGTTTCTGTCTTCCCCCCCACTTCCCATATTTTCCCATATTTTCTGGGAAATCGAGGATTCATTGTGTCTGTGTGTTTCTTTTCCTCCTGATCACGTTCTTCACCAAGCAGTTACGTGGACTGCTCGGGCTCTGGGGCTCGGGATGATGCCGCGCGTGAGCCGCTGCCCGACCTCGGCCCTCCACTTCGTGGCCCGAGATGCCCGGACTCTGCGAAACTCCGAAACCCTCTCCCTCCTCAGGCTGAGCAGGGCGGGACAAACGTAGCACCCGTGCCAAGAAGATCCATCTGGGCCGCTGCACCTTTGACAGCAAGCTGACTCAGTCATCCCGTGCTTCTTCAACCAGATCTGCGGCCAGTGACCTCCAGAGATGAGAGACCGCGGAAAGCGCTGGTGCCTATTGGTCCAGCGCCTTCTCTCCGACACGGGAAGAAGAAACAACGCCACAAACATAATCTTTTGGCGCTCCGCGCGGGCTTCTTGGATCTGCGATGCCCCCCCCACCCCACCCCTGGCGCGCGGAGCGCGCCAGGGGCGGCGCCGGAGGCACCGCCGGGGAGGGCCCAGCGCGGATCCAAGAAACCCGCGCGGAGCGCCAGAAGTTTATGTCTATGTCGTTTTCTCGTCTTCAATTCTCTTCGACACGCTGTGCAAAAGCGGCCCCAGAGCTCTCCAAAACATCGGCCTGCACCACGGTGCCTCAGAGGCCCCCAGGCTGCCAAGGCCTGGCGGTCAGAGGTTCTCACGCACCCCTCTTCTGCCAGAGATGCTTGGCCAGCGCGGGCGGCATCTTGAGCAAATCCAGAGGCAGGCCAAGGCCCCGGGACACACAACTAAATACACACAAGTCCTAGGATTCCGAATATTTTTTCACATTTTCTTGGTTTTCGCCTCTCCCCCCCACTTCCCATATTTTCCAACATTAGCCTGGGAGTCGACGACTGCATGACCCCAACCTCTATGCTAGACGCCGGAGGCTCGGTACCGCAACCTCTGCCGGCGACGCCGCCGCCGACCACGGTGACTTCAAGGTCTAGATCCTCGAGGCCGCGCCCTCCAGGCACGTCTGCACTACTTGGGGCTTCGGGAAGGACTCCCAGATCGCCGTCGCCCAAAGGAGCACAACCTGCCATATGTTCAGCACGAGGTGGTCAAGAGGAGGATGATGATGAGGAGGAGGAGGAGGAGACGGATGGCATGTTCCATATAGTACCACGCCCATTTCAATACACATAGCATTGTATTGACCATCTATAGCGTTTGCAGTGGGGCCCCATGATAGCAATACTCCAGACTTCATCCCTACACCATTCGAGCTCTGACTACAATATCTTGTGCAGAGCGGTCGCGGAGGAGGAGCTCTAAGACCCTGAAGGGGCCCGAGACGCTCTGGGGGACACCTGGGCTCCCACCAGTGGCAAGGAACACATTTTTACGTCGCCACTCGGCAGAGGCAGTCCGCGCAGGCGCCAGCAGTGGCCGGGGACGCTGACTACGGTTGCAGGGGAAACATGCTGTACATACCGTCCCAGATGTGTTTAGCTGTCACGCTTGCTGCCATGTGTGCTCTGGTCGGCTGTGTGTTTGCTGTGGCTGTGGATCCCAGCGCGACCACTTGAGCTCAGAGCCACTCTCTGAGATACAGCCGGCCCGTATCATTAAGGATGCGCGATAAGGGTGCAAGGGCCTTGAACGTCCGTGTCGAAGCTTTTCGAGCGGGGCGCGGCCGATGACGAAAGTGGCCATGGATGGACCGAGGAGGCGATGATGCAAGGGTATCCTTTGGAAGGCTGTCCATCCCGACTGTGCGGGTCGACTGTACTCCAGAGTTGCAGGCACTACAGTCGGGGCGTTGACCTAAGGAACCTTAAATAAGGCACGAGGCCCCTTTTTTTCCACGAGTTAAACTTCGATTTCCCATCGAAAACCTAAGGGAAACCCAAGGGAAGCTGTGAAACAATCAAGGAACGCGGAGCCCCTCCCCAACGAAGAGGGTTCCTTCTTCAGGGCCCCGACTGTACGCGAGTTTGCCTAGGCAAGTGCATGTCGGGGTGCTGTCCTGCAATCGTTCTGAGGCTAGCCAGCTGTCGCCATCCACTGCGGCCTCCAGGCGCGACCCACCTCGCCAGCAGTAAAGTGTCAGCGGCGGGGGGGGAGGAGGGGGAAACCTGGTTCCCTCGTTCGTTTCACTGGTCCATCTCCACTTGTTCCCCTTCGGGCTCATCCTCTTGCTTCTCATTCAAGCTCCTCCGCCTTTTCTCATCCTCACCCTCTTCCTCTGGTTCCGCCTCTTCCTCCTTCTCTTCCTCCTCCTCCTCCTCCTCCTCCTCCTCCTCCTCCTCCTCCTCCTCCTTCTGATTCGAGGAAGAGGGCGGGGAGGAGGAATTGTCCTCCTTCGCGTCCTTCTGATTCGAGGGAGAGGGCGGGGAGGAGGAATTGGAGCTGGAGGAGGCGCTGGCGAATCCTCTCTCAACCGCCTCGGGAGTCGAGACGTGTCCGTCGGCCGGCGGCGAGCCTGGCCGTTGGTGTACTCGATGAATTTGTGCCCCTTCGCCTGCGCTGGGCGCGGGCGGAGCGCCGTGGGCGAGAATCGGAGGGGGAGGGGGAGGAGGAGAAGGAGGAGGAGGAGGAGGAGGAGGAGGACGAGAAGGAGGACGGGGAGGGAGGGGGGAGGGAGGAGAGGAGGGAGGAGGAGGGAAGGAGGAGGGAGGAGGGGAGGAGGAGAGGGGGAGGAGGAGGAGGGGGAGAGGAGGGGGGAGGAGGAGGAGGAGGGAGGAGGAGGGAGGAGGGGGGAGGAGGGGGAGGGGGATTGGTGGGAGAGGAGTTCCCAGACGTCCCTCGCCACGGAGCGTCGGAGACCGCAGCTTGCTTCAAGGGCTGGACCTCCGGAGGCCGGGTTCGGGCCCCAAGGCCGCCAGAGGACGAGCCAGGACGACGACAGGCCGCATCCGCGAGGGGGTCGAAGTGGCCCTGGGGCTCACGTCGCGAAACTGACAGGATGTCGCCCGTCTGGACACGTCGGATAGAAACGAAGTGGAGGAGAAGCAACGAGAGGGTGGGAGAGAAACAAACAGAGGCAGGCGATTGGGAAGGATACAAAGGGAAACGAGCGGGGCACGGGATGGGAAAAGAGGGGAGGGATGGGGAGGGGAAGGAGGGGAGGGATGGAGGGGAGGAACGGAGGGGGGGTAGACGGGCAGGCGGACAGTGAGCGCAGAGAGAGAAGAAGGCATGCCATGGGAAGGGGAGGGAGGGGAGGGGGATGAGGGATGGGGGGAGGAAGGGGGATGACTGGATGGCAGGGATGGTCAGCGGCAGACCGCGGCCGACCGCCGCGCGCGGCGCGCGCATCCGCCTGCTCCTCCTCCTTGTCTGTCGCCCCCCCTTCCCTGCTCCAAACGGCATGCATGCGCAGCGCCTGAGCCGAGTCAACAAAAAGCCTCCCTCTTCCCTCCTCCCCTCCCACCTCCTGTGCATTGTCACGTTGCCCCTCGCGCCTCTTTGCCGCCTCTGCCCGATCCTCCTCCTCTTCCTCTTCCTCTTCCTCCTCCTCCTCCTCCTCCTCCTCCTCCTCCTCCTCCTCCTCCTCCTCCTCCCCCTCCTCGCCCTGAGGCGGCGACGGCGGAGGCCTCTCATACTCGCGCTTCCTGGCTGCGCCTTCCTACACCGGTATTTGACCTCTGCTGATCGTAGCTCAGCCTCGGTCCCCGTTGCCCTACTTTCCCGCTCTTGCCCGAGCATAGCGGGGCCTTGGCGTTGTAAGGGATGACGCTCGTCATGATGCGCATCATCCACGAATTCCCTGCTGTGTGCTCGGACATCCCATCGTCCTCCTCCTGTCAAGATCTGGAAACTTCGGAACTTCAACATTGGTACATATGGAGGAAGGCTGTTCACTGCAGCACGCGCAAGCGCGGCAGGGAAACACCATGCGAGCGCAAAGCGAGGACACAATCGTCGAACGCATACAACATTCAACCCTCAGTATCTGCCAGAGTGCCACATCCACCTCTTCGCATCGGGTCTACATGCATGGCACGTCTCCATGCTGGCACGCACACCTAAACATATACATACATACATACATACATACATACAAACATACATACATACATACATACATACATACATACATACATACATACATACAAACATACATACATACATACATACATACACACACATACATACATACATACATACATACATACATACATACACACACATACATCCATACATACACATTTACATACATACATACATACATACATACATACATACATACATACATACATACATACATACGTAAGTACATACATGCACACAAACACACATACATACACACATACGTATATACATATATATACACATACATACATGCATACATACATACATACACACATGCATGCATACATACATAAATCAATATACATATATACATATATATTCATGTGCATACATACATACATGTATACATACATACATACATACATACATACATACATACATACACACATATACACCTATGCATACATACATACATACATACATACATACAAACATACACACATATGCATGCATACATACATACGTACGTACGTACATACATACACCCATACATACATACAACCATACATACATACTTACATACATGCATGCATACATGCATGCATACATACATATACATATACATATATATACATATATATATATATATGTGTAGACATACACACTAGAACCACGCGCGCGCTTCGCTCGCGCTTAGGGTATAGCAAGCTCTAGTTGTAGTCTACAGCGTTTGGCATCGGAGGACACAGATTGTCACGCGGATCGTGCCCCTCAGGGAGCTCCACCTGCGGCCCAGAGACAGGCTTGGCTTAGCGTCCCCCCGCCCATGTCGGCACACCTCTCACAGGGATCGCGCCCCACAGGGGGCTCCACCTACGTCCCCAGAGACAAGGTTCGCATAGTGGCGCGCCCCTCACGCGCGGCACCATGGGGGAAATCCATGGCCTCATGGCGTCGCCCCGCTCACTTCGGCATCCCTCTCTTCCTGATCGTGACTTGCGAAGAGTTCCATGGCCGGCCCTAGAGACAAGGTTCACATCCCGCCATCACGCCTACTTCGGCATACCTCTCACACGAATCGTGGCCCACGGAGATCTCCACCTGCGGCCCCAGACGCAGAATTTGCACTGCGCCCCCCTGGCCATTACGGCACACCTCATCACGCGGATCGTACACACCAGGAGCACCGCCTAAAGGCACAGAGGCAAGGTTCGTACAGCACCCCCCCGCCCATGTCGCTGTCACGCGAATCGCGCCCCAAAAGGAGCTCCACCCATGGCACCAACGGGCAGCTACGCATGGCGTTCCCCTGCCCATTTCCGAACGTGCCTCGCACGGGTCGTGCCCGGAGGAGGCCTGCCTGCGGCCTCAAATGGGCTCGTTCGCGCGGCCCTTCACGCGGATCGTGCCCCACAAGGGCTTCAGCGCACCCGTGCACGCGTGCTCCGCAGCAGCCATCTTTCCGCAGCGCCCCGCGGCGCGCAATGTAGGGAGAGAGACACGCGCCCTACACTACACATGACTGCGTAGGGCTGGGCCCGTTGCGAAACCAATGGCTTGCTTCTGTATGGCTTCCGGCCCATACCGCTGCGAGTACTGTGCCTGAGTTCTGGGCCAGAGGATCCTTGGAGACATACATCTAATTCGGGGTCTCTTGGCATGCTTCTCGGGCGCCTCGAAGCTCCTTGTGGCCTCATGCGGGCCCTGCGGGGGCCTCTTGGAGACTCTTTTGGGACCCTTGGGGACCTCTTGGGTCGCTGCTGCGGCCTCGGGGCCCATTCGTGGCGGAGAGCTCGACATGTCAGTTGGAGTTCCCCCTCCTGGACTCCTTGGGGCCCTCTTGGGCCGTCTTGCGCGCTTCTTGGACCGTCTTGGGGCTTTCTTAGGCCGTCCTGGGACCCTCTTGGAGGCCTCTTGGGCTGTTCTGGGGCGATATGTGGGGCCTCTTGGGCCGTTTTCGACGCTGTCAAGACGCAAAGTGCAAACATGCTTAAAGTAAAGACTTTCCCGACACACTTCTGGCTTCCTGTAGAACAGACGGCCCTTGAGAGTGGTGCTAATTGGCGCGAGCCTTGCACAGAAGTCTCAGAAGCCCTGGACAACGGATAGCCACTGAAAATGGTGCAAATTGACGCGGGCTAAGCACAGAAGTATCAGAAGCCCTCTACAACAGGCAGCCACTGGCAGCAGTGCGAATTGGTACGAGCCCAGCACAGAAGTCTCAGAACGGACAAAGCGGGAACCGACGGAAAAGCAAGAGGAGGGGGAGGGAAGGGAACCTCCGAACCGCCCACGACACACAAAACGCTGGCCGTCGACGTGGCTCTCCGACTCACCACCGTCGCCAGCCCAGACCGCGGTCCCGAGCGAAGCGGGAACTGCCCTGTGCGCCTCTCCCCCCCCCTCCCCTACCCGTAGAGGCCTCCTAGATGGGGTCGGCGTAGATGGGGTCGGAGGATCGCGCCTCATCTCCGATACTTCAGCGATGCAGTGGCGATGCATCGGCAATGCATCGGCGATGCACCAGCGATGTATCGTCGACGTCGGCGGTGCATCGGCGACGTCGGCGTGAAGAACATCGGGCTCCGCATCCAGCCGCATCGCCGAGGTATCGGCGAGGAGGCGCGATCTTCCGACCCCACCTGCTCCGACCCCATCTGGGAGGCCTAGAGACCCTTCGTCTCCCTCCTTCTCCTCCTCCTCCTCCTCCATCTCCCCCGCCTCCTCCTCCTCCCCTCCTCCTCCTCCTCCTCCCCCCCCCCTCCTCCTTCCTCCTCTCCACTCCCCCCTCCCCCTCCCCTCCCCTCCTCCCCCTCCTCCCTCCTCCTCCTCCTCCTCCTCCTCCTCCTCTCCTCCTCCTCCCTCCCTCCTCCTCGCTCCTCCTCCTCCTTCCTCCTCCTCCTCCTCCTCCTCCAGTCCTTGCCTCCCCGCCAGCACAGCAGACGGCATGGGCCGAGGAGGGCCCGCGCCGAAGCGGGGCGGGGACCCCCGGGCGGCCCGCCGGGCGGCGTACGGCCAGGCCCTGCGATTCAGACGCTCGCCAGCTGCAGAAGCGGTGGGTGTCTCATCGATCCTTTTTCTCCCCATCCTTCTCCTCCTCCTCCTCATCCTCCTCCTCCTCCTCCTCCTCCTCCTCCTCCTCCTCCCTTCTCCTCCTCCTCCTCCTCCTCCTCCTCCTCCTCCTCCTCCTCCTGGAGAAAAGGAGGAGAACGAGGAGGAGGAGGAGGAGGAGGAGGAGGAGGAGGAGAAAAGAAGCGGAAGGAGGAGAAAAGGGTTGGAGGTTTGGGATGGTTGACGGATTTAACACAAAAGTAAGCAGTGCTGTTGCGAATTGTTGCGAATTGCATGTGCATCCGTACCCGCGGCCTGTTTGGCCCTGGGCGCCAACAGGCCCCGAGGCCCGCACCTCCGAGCGGGGTGCGCCTGCACGGTAGTTCCTGCAGGCAGGGCGGAGGCGAGCAGGCCTAGACACCGCACTGCATAAAAACGAAAGTTCGGCAGGATGCCTCGGCAGAACATCCGCCAGGTCAAAGTTGTTGCGTCGGGCTCTGGGATGAGAACACAGCCGCCAAGTTGCGGTATGTCGCCCGAGCGGGCACCCACTGACATAACACCATCCGGTGAACTTTTTTTGGGGGGGGGGGGGGCTATATCATCATTGTTCCCGAGGTCGACGGCGCCAGCGCCAACCTCGAGGCTGCGGCCGACGCCAGAGTGAACAAAAAGGATCACACAACTCCCACGCATGCGGCGCACGGGCACCTGGGCATCGGGAACATACCCAGAGATGGCCGCACGGGCAGTTGGACTTTGTGGCGACAGCACTTGTTGGCACAGAAACTCCATCCACCACGGCCTCCACACAGTTGTTCGGCACCACGGCGCAGCTCGATCACGCTATTGAGCGGGGTATAATACGCAGATCTGCTGATATGGAGTGTACCCACTGAGTGGTCGTAGGTGTCAACCCTGCAACTCGGTCGGCACACGAACGCCGTGCCCAGATTCCAATTTGACGTCCCACTGGGCTCGGCGTTCGATACGGCAATTGAGACGTACTCGCAATTGCACTCGAACTTGACCCCTGCCAGAGGGCCATTTGCCGAGGTCAATTATTGGGTACAGTTTGATCTCAGCCATAATCCCGAAGTGCTCACGCTCAGATCGCGCCCACCATTTGAGACCACAGTTTCGTCCCATCCGTTTGCGTTCCAAATGGGTGCCTGCGGACCGTTGGGCTCTGGCGAGATGGCTTCGGCGTAGACTGGCCCAGACCTCCTCCCCTGCCCCCCCCCGTTCCCCCCTCTCGTGCCCAATGTGCAGAGATCTCCCAGCGGAAACGCCATGATTTGCGGTGATGAGGGAAGACTGAGAGAGCAGGGCCCTCTCGTGCCTAAAGAGTTGGCCTCTCCAGCGCAGGCGCAGGTTTATATTGTCGGCACCTCTCGGGGAAGGGGGGGGGAAAGGTAGGATAGCAAAGGGCAGGGTAGAGAAGCAGCTCACGCAGCTGGCTTCCTTAGCTCGCCTTCTGGCTATGGGCGGCACCCATGCATCGAGGAAATGGGCCCGGCGGCGGGGCGGAAACCAGCTGCACCCAGCAGATTTCGCACCCCTCTCTATTTCCCTATCCTGCCCTGTCCCCATCCTAGGCCCGACGTCATGTTTTGGGGTTCCCGAGCCATCATATGGTGTTGGGTCCTCGCTTTAAAATGGCGATATCCGCGTTCTTCCTTCCTTCCTTCCTTCCTTCCTTCCTTCCTTCCTTCCTTCCTTCCTTCCTTCCTTCCTTTCTCCTCCTCCTCCTCCCTGCGTTTCACCCACCCAGTGCAGAGATTCGTGGCCCCAGAGGGAGCTCCACCGAAGGCCCCAGTGGCACCGCCCGCATGCGTCAGCCACCACCCAGCACAGCGCTTCGTGGCCCCGTAGGGAGCTCCACTGAAGGCCCCAGTGGCACCGCCCGCATGCGCCAGCCATCACCCAGCACAGCCTTTCGTGGTCCCATAGGGAGCTCCACCGTAGGCTCCAGTGGGACCGCCCGCATGCGCCAGCCACCACCCAGCACAGCGTCTCGTGGGCCCAAAAGGGACTCCACCGAAGGCCCTAGTGGCATCGCCCGCATGCGCCAGCCATCACCCAGCACAGCGTTTGGTGGTCCCATAGGGAACTTCACCGAAGGGCCCAGTCGGACCGCCCGCATGCGTCATCCACCACCCAGCACGGCGCTCCGTGGCACCGTAGGGAGCTCAAGGCCCCAGTGGCACCGCCCGCATGCGCCAGCCACCACCCAGCACAGCGCTTCGTGGCCCCGTAGGGAGCTCCACTGAAGGCCCCCGTGGTGCCGCCCGCATGCGCCAGCCATCACCCAGCACAGCCTTTCGTGGTCCCATAGGGAGCTCCACCGAAGGCTCCAGTGGGACCGCCCACGTGCGTCAGCCACCACCCAGTACAGCGCTTCGTGGCCCCATAGGGGGCTCCACCGATGGTCCCAGAGTGACCGCCTGCATGCGTTATCCACCACCCAGTACAGCCTTTCGTGGCCCCGTAGGGAGCTCCACAGAAAAACCTCAGTGGCACCGCCCGCATGCGTCGTCCAGCTCCCATTACAGCGTTTCGCGGCCCATTGATTGGGGAGCTCCAACAAGCCCCAGTGGCACCACCCGCATGCGTCACCCCACCCGGTACAGCGTTTCGTGGTCCCGTAGGGAGCTCCAGTTGTCCGCCGCATGCGGCAGCCATCACCCAGTCCAGCGTTTCGTGGCCCCATAGGGGGCTTGACCGAAGGCCCCAGTGGCACCGCCCGCATGCGTCCTCTTCTCCCAGTGCAGCATTTCGAGGCTCCATCGGGAGCTCCACCGAAACTCCCACTGGTACCGCCCGCATGCGTCGGCCACCACCGGGTACAGAGTTCTGTGGCCCCGTAGGGAGCTCCACAGAAAGACGTGGCAACGCCCGCATGCGTCAGCCACCACCCAGTACAGCGCTTCGTGGCCCAATAGGGAGCTCCAGCGAGGGGCACCGCCCGCGTGCGCCCGCCACACCCAGCACAGCGTGTCGTGACCCATAGGGGGCCCCACCGAAGGCCCCAGTGGCGCCGCCCGCATGCGTCTTCCCACCCATGACGGCGCGTCCAGCACAGCGTTTCGTGGTCCCAAAGGAGCCTTCACCGTTAGCGGCACCCACAACGCGTTACTCACAACTGCATAGGGTTGGGTCCTTCGCCCGGATAATCCCACCAGCCTTCTGGGCGCAGGTGGTCTAGAGCGTTTCCTTTTCCAGCCTCCTGCCTTTCCCTGCTCGGGAAGTTTACCTCCCCCCCCCGTGCCTGCGTCTGGACGGGCCCCCCCGCGATGTGTCAGAGGGTCCTTTTTGGTCCAAGATGGCTCCAAGAGGGCTTCAGAGAGCGCAAGATGGCTTCCAAGATGCAAGATAGCCTCGGACACACGTCCAAGAGGCCTCAAGACGGCCCCAGGACGATTTCAAGTGCCCTCCGAGGCCTCCAAGGACCTCCCCCCCAAGAGGCCAACATCTTTCAAACACCGACGGGAATCAACGTGTTTTGCCTTCTCGCTTTTTCGCCTCCGATGGGCTCTTGAGGCCTCAAGATGGCCCCTCGACGGCCCAAGATAGCCCCAAGAGGGGTCCAAGAGGGCCCCAAGACGGCCCCGAGAGCGCACAAGAGCGCTCCAAGAGCGGCCCAAGAGGGTCCCAAGACGGCATTTTTGAGCCTCCGAGGGGGCGATGGGAATTAAGACCCCCAATATGTTTGATCAATGCGGCCTAAGACGGCCCCAAAGAGGCCTCCCAGACCCCCCCAAGAGCCCCGAGAAGGCCCCTTGTTCATAATGTCGACCCTGGAGGTATCGACCTATCCCCTGGGACTGGTTTCTCGTCCCGCACAGATTCTTGACGGCCCCGAGGCCGATGCAGAAACTACCGCCCCCCCCCCCCGTCGCGATGTGTGTGAAGGGGAACTGAGACACACAAATAAATACACACAAATAAACATATCCCCCATATTTTCCCATATTTTCTGGGTTCTTGTCTTCCCCCTCACTTCCCATATTTTCCCATCTTTTCTGGGAATCGACGATTAATTGTGTCTGTGTGTTTTTCCCCCTCCTGAGTGTGGCATGCGCTGAGGCGGCCCGGGCACCCCCCATCCTGCCCCGCCGCGCGGCCCGAACCTCCCGGCCCCCCCCGCCGCTCCTCCTCCTCGTTGAACATCTTCCACGCGGACCACAGGAGCAGGGCGCCTGCGACCCCCTCCGGGCGCCGCGCGGCGCCGCGCGGCCTCACCGCGGGCGCCCGCCCTGCTCTCGCAGGGCGACTGCGAACCCACGGCCGCCTCTGCTGCCCCCCGCCCCGCGCTCGGCGCTCCTCGCCTGCTGCTGCTCCGCCTGCGCCCCCCTCGCGCTGCGCTCTGTCCTGGCTGCGGCCCTGCAGGGCCGGGCCGCCCGCTCGCCGCTGACCGGTGCCCCCCGTGCCCTGCCACCTCGTGCCCCTGCGGCCCGTGCGCGGGTGCCTGCGCGCCTGGCCCTCAGAGGCAGGCCGCGCAAGCTGTGCGCCCGTGATCTACGCCTCCAGTGAGGCACGCCGCTCGTGCACCGCCCCTCGCCTGCGCTGCCTGGCCAGGAGGGGGATCGAGGGATCTTTCCCGCAACAGCAACCAAGAGAAGGCATACCGATGCATCCGCTGCCCCCAAGGAGGGTATCCCAGTGGCACGAGCCATGGACCAACGAGCACAACATAACTGGACCAGGGTCGGCAGACATCGGATGAAGGTACATCGAGAATCAAGGAGCACCAGGGTGTCTGCAGGACGTATCGGGCGCCGCAGCCGTTTCGGAGCGTCCTGGAACCCTCCGTGAGCATCCCTGACCGCCCTCCGCGACTGGCGGCCCAGAATCGCCGCAAGTTAATCTTTGATGGTCCCGGCGCCCGGAAACGGCCCCCCGATGGCCGACATCAAAGGACAACCGCCGGAGGAAACATGTGACATCCTCAGGGATCCAGGCTTCGGGCGAGCGCGAACCTGCGTCAGCACCAACCTGCGTCGACCGAGGCCCCGTCGCGAAGCCCGGCCGGCCGCTCAGTGGCTCCCAAGCCGGGCGCACCCAGAGGGCGGAGGAGGAGGAGGAGGAGGAGGATGAGGATGATGAGGAGGCGGAGGAGGAGGAGGAGGAGGAGGAGGAGGAGGAGGAGGAGGAGGAGGGGGAGGGAGAGGAGGAGGAGGAGGAGG